TTAGTCCCGACTGGACAACCTCGTAGAATTACTTAAATCTTTTATCTTCCACTTAATTGGCAGTCTTCTCTTGTCAAAAGTCATGCCGTCCATCCAATTATTATATTATATTATATTATATTTATTTTTAAAGGAAATACTTTTTGAAACTAATTTAGTGATCTTCTCTAATAACATGATATATCATAATCATTGAATTGATTGCGAGTTCCAACTAATAGTAAAATTATTGTCAATCTAATAATAAAAAATAATAAAATAAACAAATAAAACCACTAAATAAGGTCCTAGTAATATTGTCCCTTTTTCTCTAATCTATTTGTGACAAGTCACCTGCTATACATTTAGGTGAAACTCATTCCATACAAGTGGATCTTCTAGTGATTAATTAGAGGGAATCATGGAGAGTAACTCATAATCAAACCAATCCACTCATTTATCACCTCTACTTTACCTCATCCCTACCAGAGTAACTCTCGGATACCTATAATCATATACAAATTGGATTTTGTTAGTTGTGTAGTTATAATAGTAAATTTGCTATATAATACATTTAGCCCGATTTATAATAAATATATAATATATGACATATTTGGCTTGACTTGTGATATCAACTCTCTTGAGAGTATGAAAATAGGCCTATAGTATGGATGTTTGTTATAACAAATAAATAATTCGTATATGTATTTGAAAAAATCCAATAATAATAAATTATTAAATATGATTGAGAAACAAGATATTAGATACGATTAGATAAATTATAATCCAATTTAATATTTAATCTAATCATAATACGTTAACCAAACAAATTTACTATATCTTATTATAGGAACAAAAACTCAAATTAAGTATCAAAATAAGGTAATTTACAAACAAAATTATTAAAATCCGAACGGTATATGTTTGTGATGTCAGGGGCCATTGTGATTGGCTCTGTCACTTGTCATGCCCACTACAGGTCAACTGGCAAGACCATCACCGATTTGGTATACCTTTTTCTTTTTTTTGTATCTTCATCGTAAATGTCATAGATTGTTCATTTGTTAGTTTATACTATTTGTTTGTCTTGCCCACCTTTTTAAGTGATTATAAAAGTATTTTTTATATTAAAGAAAATTTATTAATCAAAATAGAGTTATTAATCCTACTTTCAAAAAGTGTTATAATATAATAAATTAATTCATAAATACTATAATTTGATGATTTTATTTGTAAACTCATATTCCAGTACTTAATTCCAGAAAACCCAGTCCATGGGTCAGGCTGAAATTGACCACAGACTTTTGGGAATGGGCCTCTGTTCTTCATTCCAGTCAAGTACACATAGTTTGTCGTCATTGGTTTAAAAAGAATATACCCAAATCTGTGGGTTCACCCGGTTTTATGGTGTGAATCCGAATCTACAATTGCTGCGGGTGGATTCAACCCGTAACGCCGCGGTCCCAATCACTTTGGAAAAGTGTCCATTCCGCACAATAAATTATTTGGTAAATATCACTCGTTCCCTTGATATTTGATTTTATTACACGGACACCCCTTCATATTTAAAAAAAGACACCAAACTTATTTGACACTTAAACCTTGCAGCAGGCTTCAGAATTATTAATAATCAAAGCTGATGTCCTCAATAATAATTCATAGAATACCAAAAATATCTTCCAAAATTAAGTTTAAAAATTCAAATATATGTTTTTATTGCCCTACAAATTTACCTAACCTCTAATTTATTTTTTTAATTTATATATTTCATATATAGATTAAAATTTAACTCTTGCATGTTTAATTTCTTAATATATCATATTAATAAGTTAAATATTAAATTTTTTTAGAATAATATTTGGTATTTTTAGTACAATTTATAAAGTAATCAAAAATTTTTAAATCTTAATAATTATCTATCCAATTATCCCATATTAATTTTATTTTTTTTTATTATTTACCTAATTCTATGAATTTTTACTCCAATCACCCATCACCACCGGTTCCACCACCTACACCACCGCCTGAACCCAATCCCAATAAGGGATCCATCACCCAACAACACCTCTAAACCTTGCCAGATCCACTACCAACACCACCGTCGTGAACCTTTATCGTAATAGTGCATCTGCCACCTAACACCACCAGCAAAGAGGGAGAAAGAGAGAGACAAACCAAAACTACATCCCATTAAAACCACCCCTACCTCCATCACCACTAAAACCAGCAACTAGATCAAACATATCATTAACCATCTCTGTACATTATCTTTCTTGTCCATAGCATCACCGCCAAGTTAGTAACATGCACCAACAATCATAACCTCCACGACAACATAAATGCCCACCACCACCACATAAACGTCTTAGATCTAAAAGACAAAGATCAGGGAGTTAAGGTTTCAAAATACTCACTACCGCATCAGATCTGGGAGACAAAGAGATGGGAGTTTATTCTAGAACAGAGGTTAGGATTTCAAAATCATCCACCATTGCAATACCTGCTAGAGTGACTGTGTGGGAGGCAAATAGAGATTAAGAGGATGTTTGCGTACACAGAGAGAGAGAGAGAGAGAGAGAGAGAGACATGGTGGTTACTGCGAATGGTAGAGGTTGGGGGTGGTATGGATGAAGAGGGAAAAGGGGTGATTCTTAATTGTTGGGGCTTCGGGCATAAAGCGTTCTAGGTCATGGGTCACCAGTCACGGATGTTGACTTGGGAATGGGGCGATGGCTTTGGATCTGGGAATGGATTTGATCAATTAATTAAAGATAAAATAATTTTTTAATAAGATTATTAACGTTGTTCCCTTATTGGGGTCTCAGTGTTATTTTTAAAACATGAGGGAGTGTCCGTGTAATAAAACTAAATATCAAGGTATGTGAGTGATATTTACCCTAAATTATTTTGTGATGAATATGGAAATTCATGACAAGGTATGAAAACGCAAATTGCTAGTACTTGTACATGTTTGAGTGTTAATCACTTGATTTTTTTATTCAAAAGTGTAGATAATAAATCTACGGAAATGTGCAATTTCTTTGCTGTCTGACAACAGTGTTTATATGCCCTTCGTTAGAATTGTTTGTAGGGAAACTGGTATATGCAAATTAGAGGTAGTAGTGCGTACGGTGGATTCAATGGTGGCAATTTTCTATTCAACCTCTTCTATATGTGTTCATGATTTTGAGTCTGATTTAATTTGATTTTGATTCACATTGGTATATAAATTTGATCGTTATACAAATTTCAAATTAAATTTTAATTCGATTTTGAGTCAACATGGTGGAGATAGTTGAAGGTTGTGACAATGGTGCTGGTGATTTAAATTGATTTATTAAAAATGAGTAATAAGTTTCGTTTTAGTAAACAAGAGTCTCAAATCACACTAATGTTTATGTGGTTATACTTGAGAGACATGGAGGTGAAGTTAAATTTATCCTTTCCTTAAGGGAATACAATCCCCAAAAGAAGTATATAAAGTCAATTACAAGAACCAAAATGAAATCAAAATAAATTCAAAATCTAATTACTAAGTTGCATGAAGTCTCTGTCAATCAATGAAATACGCAAAGTCTTCTTCCTGAAATATAGTTTCACCATTGTTGTTGCTGAGTTGAACTCCAGATCCTCTCAAATAGTTCCATATTCCCTTAAAACCAATTCAAATAATCCCAATCCCACAAAAAATCATTATCAAGAGGCACGTCCAAGTTCATTATATCATTTTCCACAACTTGAGAAGGATTGGCATGGTCTCTTGTGGATTTGTTTTCTAGAGAACTTGTTCTGATCGCCATCATTGGAAGGTTTTGGTGAGATTTACTTTTCCTGTTAAGTTGACGAGGTCGGTGAACTACTATATCATCTGCCATCACTCTTGAGGGTCGTCTGTCAAATGTTCGCAAGACTGTCGATTTTAAGTAGATTCGACACAAACTGAGCTCTTGTCTTAACTGTAGGATAAGAAATTCTGAAAATGATTATCCTAAACATTATCTCAAATTATGTAATGGTGATTAACTAACTACAAAAGAGTAATGTTATTAAGACCTAAAAATCTGATCTAATTTGATAACATAATGATGTATCAAGTGATAAAATCCTAATGAGAAAGTTCAACAATTACAGTCATAAGAATTTTATTGGACCATGCCACTGTCAGCAAATTATATTAATTTTTTATGTCTCAATAACTTTCCTCATTATGCATTAGTGCAATGCATATATACAAGTAAAGCATGATGATAAGTACGAATTAAACTTATGAAATGAAACTAAGATAGGAACAAGATCTTCAAACTAAACTGTGAGTCTTCTTAAGGGCATCTTGATATGGGACATAACTTACTTGGTCTTCAACAGTAATTACAGAACTGGTGGAAATTTAAATTGAGCCCTTTATCTTGAGAATAATGTTGAATCTAAATTTATACCCTCAAAGATTAAAAAATAAATTTATACCTTTAAAGATAGAAATTTATATCAATGCGCACCTCAAGCTAACAGCCATTAGTTTACCGTCTAAAACTAAATAGATAAATTATACCTAGACCCCCTTATACTCGTCACTTAACTATCTGGACTCCTCACATTTGAAATATTACATCTACATCCCTTTACAATCCAAATATAACTAAAAATATTCCCTCAATTGGGCATCCAAATAATTTTGTTTAAGTGATGTATTGCATTGAATTGAAAGAACATTATATAAATATTTGCATTATATTGGGCATTCAAATGTTAAGCATGATTTTAAACTTTAAAGTGGGTAATATGCAAATTATAATTTTTTATTAGAATAAAATTATTTTTTTTAACGGTTGTATTAACAAATATTAATGACAATGTGTTATGTGTTACACGTGTACAAGCATCAAGAGATGTAGAAATAATATTATAAATGTGAGATGATCCTAAGTGACAATTATTAGGAGATGTACGTATAATTTATCTATTTAGTTTTAAATGGTAAACTGGCGGCTATTAATTTCAGGTGCGCATTGATATAAATTTATATCTTTTATGACGTAAATTGAAATTTTTTATTTTTGAGAGTATAAATTGAGATTCGAACAACCTTTCAGAGTACAAATTGCGACTAATCCTTTAGTAAATACTAAAAAGCTTGAATGCAGCCCTAATTTTGTCTAAGAAGAAATTCGGAGTTTGAACCATCCAGAGATGATGAGGAGGAGGAGATGAAGAAGTTGTAATTCAAGTAGATATTATTTCGGGGATTAATTTCCTTAGTCAAACCCACATCCACATGTAGGGTTAGGGTTTAAGCCTAGAACACTAAAACTTGTCCTATAGATCGCCAATTTTACAAGAAAATTCAAGCCCACGTATAAATTTAAGGTCAAATGTTATTGGATTTAATTTTCTGTTTTAATTCATTATAACTTTTAGATTGACTGTGAGTTTCATAAAATATTGGAACTTGATGTTGATTCAATAATTCCACTGAAACCACAAATTAAATCAAATTTTTAGATTTAAATAGCATTACTCCTAAATTTACTTGTATGCAATTAAGGCAAACCTTTGGAGCTGCACTTGTTGAAGAAGAAGCTTCTCCGGCTAAGGCTTTGTACTCGTTCATCTTCCACTCTGTCTTTCTACCACCTGGAGCTCTTCCTCGGTAGAAAACCATGGTTCTCTTCACTCCAATTATTTGATTACTCGAGTAAACATTGCCCGGAGAACCAGTGGCTTTCCAATATCCGATAGTCGTGAGTCGATTAGGTCTTCCTCCATGGGCTTCTCTCTCTTGCCGAGGAACGAAGAAAAACCACTGCTCCGGGTCTCCTTGACATAACTCCCCTGCAAATTCTGGCACCAAAACAATAAAAGAAAAATTGTAGATCTTGCTTTTATTTTTGTGGAATGTAAATGATCTTGCTTGGCTGCTCCATTTCTAAGGATCCAAGCTAATGCTCGATTAGCTAGCGAACAGAAAACCAAGCTTGCAATGATTATAAAGAACGTCAGAAACGAAAATCTAAGAGCCAGAAACGTCGAAGTAGCAAAAGCAGTGCTATGTCTTCGGACCGCAGTTGGTTGAGTAGGTTATTCTTGTTTTATATCGATAATTTAAAAAAAAAAAAAAAGAAAAGATGAAAAGGTGGTATACAAAGATTACAATCGAAGTGAGAAACAAAATGTCTTCTAGGCTCTAGCTTGACAAGAGCAAAGAAAATAAATGTAAAGAAAATTAAGCAAAAGTAAAAATTTGACCATTTTTTTACAGATAACCAAGAAGAAGAAGATGAAAGGACATGAGAGATGAGAGTTTTACTGACGTGGGAGGTCCCATGGATTGTACTTATAAATATCAACCGCTGGTATAGCCAGGTCGAGGTCTTGTCTCCTTCCTTTAAGTTTATTCTGCAGATAGAATGAAACTAACTCTTCTTCTGTTGGGTAGAACCTAAAACCAGGTGGCAGATCTTCCATTACCCTTTCTCTCTCTTGATTAGTCACACATAGGTATATATGTTTTGGATTTGGTTCTCTATTTATGGAGGAGGGCATGGAGAGAAAAAAGAGACTGACGATTGAGATGACAAAAGGCTGAGATCTTTGACATTGAGGCTGCTGGGAAATTTCCATGTTGCCGGTGGGAGATATATCTTGTTCATTCCACTGCTACTTAATTCCCTACTAGAATTACTTAATATTTTATCTTCCACTTAATTGGCAGACTTCTCTTGTCAAAAGTCATGCCGTCCATCCAATTAGATGTTTACGATCTCTTATTATATCCTATATTTTTCTTAATTAATGATAGGGATGTATCTTAGTTAAACAATATGTCTCAACCAACGTGAAATTCCCTACAATACATTTTTTTCACTAATCTCTTTTTGATAGGTCACCTACAATACATTTAGGTTAAACTCAGTCCATACAACTGAATCTCTTAATCATTAATTAGAGGAAATCTTGATCTATTTTATCTGTTCTCTCACAGGTATTTGTGATTTACTCTTGAAGTGATGAATCCAAAGTAATCTTACCTTGCTTGGAGAGGTTACTTGTAAACAATATTAAAAAAAAATGGCATTCTTTAAGTTAATTTTGTATTCATTGGGTGTTCTGGTTTATAAGCCAAAATTACTCCCATTTGTTTTCTTAATGAAATGGGTATACAAGACACATTTTTGGGAAAAATGGTTATTGGTATTTGCAAAGAGCAGTGGGAGTGGCAATGACAGTGAGGGACGTGTTGTACATGAAGTAGAGGAAGTAATTTTAACACATTATTTATTAATTTGTTCAATTCATTTATAAATTAACAGATTGAGTACCTATATTAAGTAATGCAAGTTCAAAATAGGTTGGACAATGGAACTCATTTTTGTATATGTATTTTTGGTATATTAATGTGTATATTTTGATGTATTAATATGTATATTTTTTATTGTGTATTAACATCTATTTCATTTGGTGTAGTAGTATGCGTTTATATTAAGAGTTTTAATTATTTTATGGGTTAATAGATTTAACTCAACCCAATATACTCGTTTATTAAATGGGTTGAAAATAGATTGGATTGGTTTTGCACTTAACCTATATTGAATTAATCCATAACCAATTCAATCCGCTCATTTGTCACCTCTACTTTAAATTCATCCTTGTCAGAATAAATCTCGGATACCTGTAATCATATACAAATGGGGTTTTGTTAGTTATGTAGTTATAATAGTACATTTGCTATCTAATACATTTAGCTTGATTTATAATATATAATATGGATGTATGGTGTAAAAAATATATAATTTATATATGTATCAGCGATGCCCTGTGACTAAAATCATTGTACACTGAATTATTACACTGTGCATACATTTGAATGTGTATATGTATGTGCAGCTGTGTGTTATGAAGAGTGTGTGTGTTGAGTTCTTGAAATTTGGAGAGAAAAGTGTGTTGGGTGTGTGAAATTTTGGGGGAGAGGGAATATACCATTTTTAAGTTTAAACTCTTATCTGTTTTATTATACAAATTTAAAATAATTATATAAAAATACGGGACCAAATTTGACTAACAAAATATTTGACCAAATTAGATACGATCAAAGAAATTATAATGGACCAAATTTGTCTAACAAAATATTTGACCAAATTAGACACGATAAAAGAAATTGTAATCTAATCCAAGTTTACAAACTCTCGTAACAAGAAGTTTTTTGTTAAAAACTTGTATAATTAATAAAATATTAATGAAATAATATGTTATTATTACACAATACATTACTTTTAAAGTTTGATATGTTTTTTGATATATGACTTAACTACTATAATCTTATGTGTCCTCCATCAGCAATTTACTCTCTGGCATATCATCTTTATATGTGTTTGTGATGCAGGGCTCTTGTCAAGGTCACTGCAGAAGCAACTGTCAAGGCCATCATCAATCTGTTACTTCATATTATTTATTTACTTTGCCATTGTTGTTAATGATGTAAAAAAATTATTTAAAATTGAAGTTATTGATCTCACTTTTAATAAAAATAAAATTATTAATTTCATTTTTCAAAAGTGTAATAATTTAATAAATAATTTTAAAAACCACTGTAATTTGATGATTTTATTTAAAAAATACCATATTTTGATACTTAATTCCAGAAACCCCATTCAATGGGTCGGGCTGAACTTGACCATATTAATGGTCAGCCTAGTTTTGGTCATGAGCCTATTCTTCTCTAACCTGCACTAGTTTACAAATTTACAAGTTAAAAGGACCTTTGTTTCCATTCAAACACACATAAAAAAAAATTATATAATTATATACCCAAATCTACAAAAACGGTGGAAATTCCAATCATCCGGTTTATTGTGTGAATCCGAATCTACAATAGCGGCAGCAGGTGGATTCGACACCCTAAACGGCGACCATAATCACTTTGGCAAAGTGTGAAATTTCACACAACAATGACTTTAGAGAGTCGTGATAAGGTATCAAAATGCAAATTCCTAGCACCTGCACATGTTAAAGCGTTAGTTATTTACTGTTTTTTATTCCAAATAATATAACCTTGTGGAAAAAATAATGATTAAAAGGTCAACAGTAGGTTACGTTATTGTAAGGGGTAGAAATCGCTACGGATCTCATCCATCCACTTGAAGGATTTCGGCTGACCTGGTGGCACCGAGCCCCAGTAGCCTTTACCTCTCTTCGCTAATAGGACTCTTTCCTAAGACAATCCTCCTCCATAGGAAGTGTTCACTTATATGGCAGGGGGAAAGACAACTCTCTTCCGATGTGGGATTGTCTTAGGAAAGGGTCCTATTGGCGAAGAGAGGTAAAGGATACTGGGGCTCGGTGTTGTCAAATCAGCCGGAATCCTTCAAGTGGAGGGATGAGATCCGTAGCGATTTCTACCCCTTACAGTTATCGAATTATTAATCGACCGACTTGAATTTGGCCGTCTAGAAAAATATGGCACGCTATTTTCACATCGGGTGGGTCCACTGGGCCTGATTTTAATGGGTTATTTCATTTAAAAAATTTCTCATATTTGATGTATTTTTCAAATTAAAAATTTTTTTTATGGCCAAAAAAAATTAATGTTTCAGACCAGCCGACAGGTCAAGCCTTCTTTCTGACTGTTCAAAAAAAAAACAGCCTCCTTTGTGGGCTGATGTGAGCTCAAATGGGCACATGACTTGCCCAGTGGGCCGTCTTTAATGGTTTACCTATTTCAAAAATCTCCCAAATTTGACGTATTTGTATAAAATATCATTTTGATGGGCCAATATATCAAGCCTCCATTGTGGGCTAAGGAGAGCCACCCACACAATCCTACCACAGTGGCTTTCCAGCTTTCATGTGGAGGTCTATCCTGAAATACCTCTCTGCCCAATAGTTAATGGGCTTCAAGCCCAAATGTAGAAGCTTAGTAATATGGTAGATCTTTGGGAAAATTGGGTGTGTGTGCACAATTTAGTTTAGCTTTTATTCATATTACTTATTTACCCTTCCTTAAATAATGTCTAATTGTTTGATAGTTTATTTTCTAATTAAATATGCAAAGATTTGATTAAATTTTATCATTTATTTGAATTTTGAATAACAGCATCTTCTTCAATCATTGCCTTCAACACCTAGTTTTTTTTTTTTGGTACTCCTTCTCTGGTTGTACTTTCAGTTTCGACAGAAAACTAAAGGAAATCATCAGCATTTTTGTTATTCTTTGTATTTTTCTTCAATTTTTAGTATATTCTTCTAAAGTTGGTTTTCTTAATCAATTGAGTATTTTTACCAAATACAAATTCAAATTTTCGATCATCATCCCCGACCAACTGATAACTATTTAATAATTCTATTTTTTTTAAATGCCCATATTTTTTTTTCCAACCAAACAAATTCGATATTTAAAGTTAAAAGTTTTTTTTTTTTTTTGGGAATTTGTGTAATTTAGAATCTGTGTTGTAGATTATCAATCCAACTCTTAAGATATTGGTATTTTGGTGGCATGTTTGAGGATTTATCATAGGTGAAACTGTTTTTTGGTTTAGATGTTTTCTGTCAAATTCTTTTTTTTTTTTTTTAAAATATCAATTCGTATATTTTATGGAGACACAAATGTATGGTATATTTTTTGGATATTAGTTTCAATTGTTGTACCAATTTTTAGGTTGAAATTGTATGCCTGTAGTTGTTAAAAAAATCGTAGCAGCATTTTATGTTTATAAAATATCTAAATTATAGTATTATTTGATACGGTTTGGTAAGTACTCGTGTTTTCAATGACAAATTAGTGGGTTTCCTTGCTCTTCATATTGTATCCGCGATACGTAAAAGTGAGAGAAATATCAAATAATTTGTAGATTATTATTATTATATCAGCACATAAAAGAAATCATATGTTCAAGCTATATTTGCAATTCTGACTATTGGTCGCCCAAACTTCCAAGTGGACGAAGTTGAAATTTTGCCCCCATCAACTAAGAAGTAGTCTAGTTGACCCACAAAATATAGAATATAGTTAAGGGGAACTTATTAGACAAATTCGATGTGATCGTTAACAAGAAAACTTAATGAGCCTACGTGATTGGATACTATTTTAAATTAATAAAATTTTATTACATTTTTTTTTAGTATCATGCTATTTTTTTGGTAATTGATGTATTATTTTTTGTCATTTTATGCATACATGTTATTGTGAAACTTATAATTTAAGGAACCAGACTACATGGTGTAGCTCTTTTCATAGTGATGAAGCATATAGGTTGTGGGAATATTGCAACAAAACAGAAACATAAAGATCTTTTTTTTTTTTTTTTTTTTTTTACAATTGGGGAGAAAAAAGAGTTGTAATGATAAGCTTTTTGATATAATAGTAACTCTTACAACTCTTTTTAAAGAAAGATATATCACTTGAAAGGTACTAATTAAACAAGGAGAATCATATACCCTATGCAACAGAGCTCAAAATTAATCAAACTCAA